AGTCAAGAGAAATCATTTTTTGTAATCATTCCGTAATTATTTTTTTAGTTGGTTCGGAAGTTTTTCCGTAAATATTTTGTAGAGATTTTATTATTGTTTCTTAAAGATTTTCGTCACTGTTTCCCTGCATCTGCCTAATAATTTCGTAAGGTCCTTCCAAATTATATCGTGAAATTTTCTTTCGTTAGGGTTATCGTAAAGTTTTGTAAGGAATTTCATTAGTAAGGATAGTTGTAATTGTTTGCGAGTTATTTTGGAAATCATTACGTAAGAATTTTCGTAATTATTTGCTAAGGAGTTCGTAATCATTGAGTAAGGACTTTCGTAATTGTTTTAAAGGTACTTTGCAGTTATTACGTAAGTATGTTTGTACTTGTTTCCCAAGGAATTTTGTAAATATGACTATGATTTTTATTGATTACGTAAGGGATTTCGTAAACCTTACATAATGATTATGTTAAGGATGTCCTACTGATTTTTCGAAATCCTTACGTTAGGATATTCCTAATCATTACTTAAGATTTTTCATAATCATTACTTAAGATTTTTCGAAATAGTTGCCTAACGGTTTATCGTAATCATTACATAATGTATTTTGTAATTGTTCCCAAATGATTTTCTTAATCATTACCTAAGAAGTTTTGTAATTGATTCCTAAGGAGGGTCGTGATCATTACGTAATAATTTTCGTAACTGTTTTCTGAAGTATTTCGTAATCCGTACTTAAGGATTTTCCCAATTGTTTTCTAAGTTTTTTTTTTAATAATTATTTCATAATGAATTTTGCAATCATTACATAAGGATTTTCGTAATGATTTTCGTAATTGTGTCCTAAAGAATGTTGTAATCTTCTTCTACATGCATTTTTGTTAAAAAAATAGGATATTAAGGATTGAACAATTGCAATACTAGAACTAAAAGAAGCAAAATGACTGTATATTAAATAAGGACAAAATGGCGTTTTTAATTTGTTGTTAATCATCCTAATATGGTCTTATCAAACCTTCAACTTGAAAGTCTCCAGCCTTCTGTTCTAACATCTAAAGTTGTATTAGTCTTTAATTTTTTTCGAATATTTTAAAATCGCTTCCTTCCCAAGGCAACACACCCTATTAAGTTATGCTCCACCAAGCGAACGATTTTCAACCGATATTAATGTCAGGGCCGAAAATGCTTTCTACTTTATGACGGAAATAATTAGGATAGATTTTTCCTGTTTTTTTTTTTTTGTAGTTTTTTGTTTTGTTTATGTTTTTTTATTATTTGAAATCTCGGTTTATATGAACGTGACCTTTTAGAAACTCCAATCTAAACTTTTTTTTCCTGCTCATTCTCTCTTTAAATAACAATGGCAAATGAAAGTTGGAAATATTAACGCATCATCCGGACTCCGATCCAGCGTCTAATGCCACAAAACATCGACATTGCCTAACATTCATTAGGCGCGAATTTGTAGCTTTTTCCGACAAAGAAACGGATAATAGTGTAGACGTACAGATTTCTTGGGAAGTGACCGTTTAGTTAAATGTCATCATTCAACAAAAAGCAATAATTTTTCAATAACAAGTGTTCATCGCTTAGATCAAAAGTTAGAAAATAATCCGAGAGTAGAACTTATAGATTTGCATTGGCAGCTAAACTATTGCTGACCTTAAATGTGAATGAAAATTAAATAAGATTTGATATTTGTACATGTTTAAAAAATGCTTTCTTAATAGTTTGTCATGTGCTTTTATAACATCAATTTAAAATTTGTACAATATATCAAATTGCCTCTTATATTTCTTTAGTGTTTCCTATTAGATATCTTCTTTTTATTTTTTTATTTTAGTTGGAACTAAATTTATCTTTATTGTTCGAAATATTTGTTTTTACCGCAATAGATTTGATTTTCCAGGAAGCGGGTGTAACGTATACAATTCCGATTTAGAAAACTAACCAAAAGTCTTGGACAACAAAATCAACAGCAAAAAGAAAGGAACCCATCTGTATCATTTTCATAAATTCAGTATGCGTAGGATCCGAATGTAAATGGCAAATAGAAGATTTTTATTAATCATTTCATTACATTCAAGGCAATGAAGCCACTAAGGCACAATGATTTGTCCAATGTGAAAGAATATAAGAAAAATAAAGCTTTATTAAGGAGAGTGAACAATGAAAAAACAGGAATTAAGAAGACAGAAGATGACGACGGACATTATATTGAAAGTATAAAAAAATTATAATAACAATATCAGCAATACATTTTTGTGAGACAAATACTATCAATACATTTTTGTAAAGGAAATTACTAATGATCAAAGAAAATTAAATTTCGGCATTGAATAACCCATAAGGAGCTGATATGCAGCTAAACAAACAAACAAACCCTTGAACAGAGTAAGTTAAAACATTTTTGTTATGGTCCGGTTCCTTGTACCACAGTGATAGTCCAAGGTAGAACCAATAAAGAAGAACTCGAACAGGGATATGGAATAATACAGATATATTACAAACAGGAATATATACAGAGAAGTAGAAGTGTTAGTACGAACAATCAGGTTTAGTAGAGAGAACAATGTAGTCTCGACCAGTATCCCTATTCCAATGTCTTGCAGTAATTATCTGAACGCGATTCTGTTTCGGACTGCCTCTGACTCGACTCTTGACTCGACTTGAACTACTGACTCTACTTGAACTACTGACTCGATATTCAGTCCCCCCACCATTTATTATGGGTTCTCCGAGCCCGTGTTCTCGGCCCAAAAATATGCCCATTGAACCCGTATAAACGGGCTCAGGGCCGGTTTACCTCCCCGAACTAGACTCCGCCCCTCGGCGAAGCCTCGTTCGGGTTCCTCTCCGCCCGAAGGCAGAGAGTTCAACCGAACAGTCGGTTCAGAAGTGAACTACTGACTCTACTTGCATACTACTGAGGCGCAGTATTTGTTAAGTATGGAATAGTCCATTATTAGTATTATGGGTAGGATCCCATAACATTTTTTAAAATCATTTAAACTCTAGGAAGCCATTAAACCCACTAACGCGTAAGTGGGTGGTTACTGGCTGGGAAATATATGAGAAAAAGAAAAAAAAAACATTATTAAAATGAGAGAATAATAAAAGAACAGGAATTAAGGAGACAAGTGATCACGATTGATATTTCATTTTGTTAACTGGAAAGTAAGAGGCCAGAAGAGAGTTCCACAAGCGAGAAGTGCCAAAGAAGAAACTGTTTGCATAGAACTTACGGTTGCATTGGTTGAAAGGTCTCATCAATTCACTGTTGAATTGGTTCAATTCAACAGTGAATTGATGAGAACTTTCCCCCAATGTAATACTACACTTAAGTTCAAAAAGTCTAGGTATCAAACAGAAAAGTTTATCAGAACAATTACTATGAAAATATTTATAGAAGAATCACTGGACAGCTACATTACGACGGTGGGAAAGTGACTGAAGACGAGCTGCTAGGTCAGAACCAATAAAATTGCAGATTCTTCTTTGAATTTTATCAAAAAATCTCTAAGTACACATAGCAGAAGCACCAGATCAGATCTGACAGAAATATTCAATGCATGGACGAAAAGTAGATTTTTCAAATATGCAAGATAGTATCTGCTGTAGAACATTGTTTATCATGACACAGTGAGAGATGATAAACTTTATTATACAGTTCAAAGCACAAATCAATCTGCCGAGCGTTTTTTTTAGACGGATCAAAATCCTGTCAAGCAAGCTTATTCAGTGAGACCATTAGTGAATGCAGGAGAGAGTATTAGAGAGTATTTTAAGGACAACAAGATAGATATAGGATAAAGCTGCATTTAAAGACGCCACGATTATTGTCTGGGAAGAATTTCTCTCGGGAGTTTGTTCCATAAAGTAATAGTTCTGGGGAAGAAGTTGCCTGTATGGAACCGGCTTTTTATCAAAGAAACATGAAAAGAATGGGGATATTTTAGATGAATTTGTTTGCCAATTGAACCTGTGACATTAAAAATATTTAGTGTTGAGAGAAAAATAAATTATCAATTAATACTACTAATAAAAAATAATAACAATGCAAAAAAGATTAGAATTTCGTTCGAAACAAAGGAAATATTATTGAACTGCTAGATAATTTTTGTTTCTTATTAATGTTCACTAGATACAAGGCCCAAGAGACACTCAAGGTAGAGGGATACTAACGATTTTAATTTTTGATTCGTTTACTACGGCACTATTTACATTATTCGAACTATTGTCCTCATCTCTGTCGCCATATTTATTCCAACGTTTCGGCCATTGTACGCTCTGGCCTTCTTCAGGTGGTTGGAATGTCGAACTGAACTGTTTATTTCGCTCACTGGGGTAGACTGTTCTAGTTCCACGTGCCGTGTTTTTAATGGATGTCACTTATCAGTGACCTCCTGTTAATTCCCCTCTTCAAGTTCTCCACTGCCTTAACACATTGCACAGTAGATAAAGGCGTTAGTTAGATCTAGTGAAAGGACCCAAAGAGTGTGAGTTCAATATCCGGTTAAGGCAGTGGAGAACTTGGAGAGGGGAATTAACAGGAGATAACTGATAACTGACATCCATTAAAAACATGGCACGTGGGACTAGAACAGAAATAAACCGTTCAGTTCGACATTCTAACCACCTGAAGAAAGCCGGAGCGTACAACGGCCGAAACGTTGTAATAAATATGGCGGCAAAGATGAGGACAATAGTCCGAATAATGTAAATAGTGTACATAATACCTCATCTCAGAAATATAGACAGATACGTTACTACGGTTTATTAAAAATTTGAGGGTTATTTTAATCAAGAATATATATTTTTAGATCATAAGAACATTTTTCAGAAATAATAATGATTTAGTGACACAAATCTTACTAATTAACCTATAGCTTGGGGGAGAAGAGGTCGAGTCACAACTTTTCTAGGGGTATTTGAGTGTAAGGGAAACAAGGAGTCCTACTGAAATTGAAACTCGGCTCTCCGATTAACAATTCAGAGCCATTTTCCATTACACAGCACATGGTGTTTCCCAGACGGTCACCCATCTAAGTACTGACCAGGCTTGACGTTGCTTAAGCGGTGATCGTACGGGAAAGGGTGCTTCAACGCTATATGGTCGTAATCTGAAGGAGGTTATTGTATGAACGGTAAAAGTAAAGCCTCTTCACGCGTGGACGTTTGGACGTGCCTTGATTGTAAACCACCCTCACTGACCTTGCAAGTGTCATCATTCTACGGCTCTATGGATAATATCATTCCTTGCTGACGTCTTCTTTTTTGTTCAGTTTTACCTTTTGGCACAGTTATAAGTTTACCAGTTATTATAGGACGTGAAAAACCTTTCTCCGTCTGTAGCAGAATGCGAAAACATGCGAAAACTCACACGACTGAATAATTTCACTCACCGTGAAATGTTATGGGTCGAGGCATCATCAGAATGCTGGAGGGTTGTTTTTATTTATCGTCACCACCTCTAGATTGGTTTCTAACCATGGCTATATAACCGAGTCTATCCTGCTATTTAACCTATCGCTGGTACGAAAAGAGATGGAATCATAGCTTTCCCAATGATATTTGCCCGTTAGTGAATGTAATAAACTCGTTTGGAAATTCAAAATCTTCACGATATCTCATTTCGAGCCATTACACTATCCAGTACACTAACAGCACATATTATTAACACATACAGTTTTTTTTTTTTTTGTAGATACGACTCTTATAATCTCCTCGGATTTTTAGCTCCCGGGTGAGGTCCTGCTATTTTGTGTCTTTCGTTTTTTGTTTTTTTTTCCTTCCTATCATTTTGTGAATGGTTCTGCCTTTTTTCCTACCTGCATTTAATTCTTCCCGCCGCTTCTGAAAAGAGTCCATTCTACATTTAGCGCTTCTCATCGCAATTTTCATTTCTACTTTGACACTTACTGATATCTTTAAGCGGCTCCTGCTTCTGTTTCCTCTTTCTGATTTTGCTCTTTCAACCAAGCCCTTATTTCGTGCCCCTATTATTTTTTTTCTTGTTCTGACAGTAAAAGAACACTGAATATCACTTAAGCATATCCATCCGCCGATCACGTCGTCACTTCTTTTTCATCTTGGCCTGACAATAGTTGACCTTTGACGCTATCACATCCATCTTTCACGTAATTCTTTATTTCTTTTAGCCTCCGCTCGCGTTCAGCTTGGTTCATTTCGTGGCCGTTAGCCTCTGCCTTTTTATTTTATTTTCCCCATCTGTCCATCTTAGTTTCGTTGAACTCAGATCTTGAATTTTGATTTTATCTATGCATTTATTGCTATCAATCTTAATACAAGAGCGTACCTTGTAAAATACAAGTACGTACCTTGTAAAATAGAAGTGCATACCTTGTAAAATAGATGTGCTTACCTTGTAAAATACAAGAGCGTACCTTGTAAAATAGAAGTGCGTACCTTGTAAAATACAAGAGCGTACCTTGTAAAATAGAAGTGTGTACCTTGTAAAATACAAGTGCGTACCTTGTAAAATCTCTAACGCCTTTTTTCTCACTGATTTTTATTTGCTTCAGTGAATTCTCCAGTGTTGAATAGTATTCAGAACCTTTTTTTATAATGGTTGAATTCAATTAATAAAATAAGACAACGAGATGTTTAGTATGATCATCTCGAAAATCAGATTATTTCTACCGATACTTCTACCGGCGCAGAAAAGTAAATCAGCGACTTGAATTCAAATTCGGACAGAGTCATGATCCAATCTCTTCTTCATGACAGGTAAGAGTTAAATAGTAGCACTGGCTTAGCTCTCGAGCCTTAGATGTCATCCAATCTAGAGACGGACTAGTGTGAATTCAAATCTGGAATAAAAGCAGTAAGAAACATAATGTATAGATGCTAGGAAGACATATGATCGCCTACAACCTTTGTGGATATGGCATTACAAAATGGAAGTTTTTACCCATTGTGTATACCAGAGATTAGTAAATAATCAAAAGTATTTTTATTTCATTATTTCCTTCTTTGCTTATTCATTTTACTCTTAATCTGACCTAACTCTAAGAACTGAATTGGGGAGGGGAGAACTAGCTGGTCACATTCAGTAGCTAAAAGAAACAAACTAGTAACGACCATCCCGATGTCATCAGTTCCCAAGTAGGCATCTACGCAGACGACACTACTATTTACTCCTGCCTCAATAGTAAATTTGTTATCGTTGACAAACCTAACGAGGCCGCCGATCTCAAAAAGCACTTCCAATCTGTGGTTGACTAGGGCAGGAAACAGCTTGTAAAATTCAATGCTTCCAAAATGAAACTTCTCTCAGTTACCCACCACAGGGAACTCTCCCTGTCCCCATCGGGATGGCTGATGCCCAACTCCTTGAGATCGCCACGTTGCGCCTCCTTGGTCTCACACTGTCCGCTGATATAAGGTGGAACAAATACATAGACTCAATAGCTTCATCTACCGCAAGGAAAGTTGGTTCTCTGTGTCGTACCAGAAAGTTTTTCTCATCTGTGTCCATCCTTCAAATCTATAAATCATCCATCCGCCCTTACATGGAATATTGCTGTTATATATGGTCTGGTGCCCTGCTGTATGTCTCGAGGTCCTCGACAAAATCCAGAGACAGATATGCAATGTGATATGTCCTGATCTGGCATCTAGTCTACAGTCGTTCTCTCGCAGACGTGTCTTGGCTTCACTTTGTCTCTTCTGTAAATATTTTCACGGCAACTGTTCCGACGATTTGCTTTCTCTGGTTCCCAGATTGCATGACTGGCATCTCGGCCCCACCCTTTCATTGTCGAAACGGTTAAATATAACTGTATTTTCTACTCGAATGGCTTCTTCTTTCGCATTTCCCGTCTGTGGAATTTTCTTCCTCTTACTTGCTTCCCTGATAACTTCAAATATTTAAGTGTAATATCAATCGACATCTTCTAATACCTTGATCTTGTTCCCCGTCCTTCTCTTTATCCCCTCCCCGAACACTCCTCTTGTTCTCTACCCTCTTTAACCCCTTGCGTGCTCGTGGCACTCTCGACTTGCTTGGGGTGCAATGCTTAAAAATGTTTCATTAACACCAAACAAAAGCGAGATTTTCGTCTGTCTCAATGAAAAGATGTTATCTTAAGGAGGGCCTTTGCTTTGACGCCTATTGGGACTATTGCTCATCCCAGAACTCAAGGGGAACTCATCCAATCTAGTGCTAAAGATGATGGAATGATAGATGGTTGTTCTCTTAAGGGGTCTCTTTGGCCGACCGCCTATTGGGACTTAAGCACACCCCAGAACTCATGTGGAACTCCTTTATAAAATCCATCGCAAAAGGTACTGCAGTTTTCCAGTAACGACCTGACTTATACTATCCTCTATATTTACAATGGAATACAGCTGTCATATCTGGGCTGGAGTTGCCTAGTCCTCACATTACAGTCCTGAGTGCAAAAGTGTTGAAGCGGACCTGCTTTTCACAACCCCTTTCTTGCAGACGAAACGTTGCACACCTCTCGTTACTCTATCGCCATTTCCATTGAAAAATATTCTGACTAGCTACCTTTCTCTTTAGAAGTAAGTCCCACTCGAAAAGCTTCTTCCCACAATCCACTACCTTGTGGGACCGATTCCCAAGACAAGTCAAAATAGGGATAATATGCTGTCTAAGTAATCCACCCTCGAGCACTAGTTTATCTAATTCACGTTGTTGGCGAGTATTGTATTCTGTTGATGTTACCATTTCATTTCCAACTTCCGTTTTGGTTATTCACCTTTCAGTTACACTTTCTAGGTTACAACATTTTGACGACGAGGATGAGATATTGGCAAGTTGAAACGAACGTCAAAACAATCGGTAAGGATGATATATTTAGTCCGAAAATGGTGCACAAAAGGCACCAAAAAAGTAGGCATGAAGAGAACGATACTACAGTGAATGTTGGGCCTATGGAAGTTCTTTTCGACACATTTGATTTGCCCATTCCTCGGATAACACCTGAGGCAAAAATCCAAATAAGTCAGAGGAAAAGAAGCGATACAGAGACAATCGACATTAACCCGAAAAGGAAAATATATTGACACTGTGCTGAGGAAATCTAAAAAAGAAGGGGGTGTTTTTTTTTTTTATATATACCGTACCTATGAACACTAATGGGCATGTCCCAATCCTCATAATTACGTTGGGCACTACCGTAAGTGGTCTTAATATACTGTCTAAGTAGTCTCCCACGAGCAGTTGTGTCCATCGTATTTATGAGGATTGGGACATACCCATTAGTTTTCATAGGTAAGGTATATAACCATTATTTAACTTCCTTTTTTTAGCATTCTTTCCTTCACATCTTTCTTTTTTCTTTCTTTCTTTTTCTTTCTTTTTATTTCTTTCTTTCTTTCTTTTTCTTTCTTTCATTTCTCATGTGCTTTATTACTTTCATTTTTTCATGGGCCACGTCACGTTGAAAAAACAGGTTCCCGTATGATCACCGAAAATAAAAAACATCGAGCCTGAGTACCTTGATGGGTGACCACTTGAGAATACCAAATGCTGTAATCTTTAATCTGCCTCTGGTGTAATGGATAATGGCTCGGAACTGTTAATCGGAGAGACGAGTTCCAATTCCAGTTCCGTTCTATATTCAGTTGCGCGTAAATGCTTTTGGGAAAGCTATGAATCCACCTCACCCACACTCAGCTCTGGATTAATTAGTAAGATTTGAGCCATTGCATCATTACTACCTCCATAAAAAAATTCTTAGAATCTAAAAATATTTTCTGGCTTTAAATAGCCTGCAAAGCAAAGCCGAATAAAACTTCTTCTTCTTCTTCTTCTTCTTCTTCTACTTCTCCTCCTCCTCCTCTTCCTTCTTCTTGCTATTATTATTATTGTTAGTATTATTTCCTTTAGTTTCTTGTTTTTTACTCATTTGATTCCAGGACAGAACCAGAGACCTAAGGCCAGAAATGGCATCATGGCATTTTCCACTGAGCAGTTTAAAAAAAAAATCGCACATATTTTACATCGATAAAGCCCTTCGTAAGGTGTGGGCTGTACTTGTGAGTACAATTTTTTGTATTTCTTTAAGGCATGAGCTACCAAAGATTCCTTCAATGAATCTATTGAAATCCTTTCTAATCAATCCGAGGGC